ATGCACAAGTATTTTTCCATACTTAAAGTAATTCATGCAAGTTTAAATCGACATAAATTCGTTTAATTTAGAAGTAAAACCTGTAAATCTTATGTTTTGTTAATACCCCATGCGAGTTATTATAACCATGCTATGACTCAGTCGGCCTCGTAATACGACGTTCTTCAGGCGTCGCAAGTTAAATGACACTTGTCACCTCAGACCTGTCGGTCTAGCTGTTGCATGCAGCTTAGGTGCGGGTTTGTCAGGCCCAATATAGATCTATACACAACTATCACGCTCTCCCTACAAGAGACACTGGTTACAATTTACAGGACTTTTCACTTTGTTACTTTGAAGGTAACACGAAGCGAATGTCTCACAAATTTATTCATTAACAGATTTACGTCAACTGAACTGAAAACCCCTTGGTAAATGAGTTTGAAATGTAAATGAAACATAAACTATACCTATTATAGTTTATCCAGAACGTTTGTAATGTAAAAGAACCCTTTTATGAAAATACATTAGTGCTATGAATCCATAAACTATTAATATTATGTAGTATATGAAAACCCATTTGTTTTTAGAGTAAAACCTTTCTCATGTAGTAAAAATCCATAAACTATGTTTATTATAGTTTATTATATGTGTTCGAAATGAATGAAAAATCCTTATCATGAATGACTAAATTTCAGTTTATGATGATAAACTAACAAGAAAATACATTCAATATTTAGAACTTATGGTTATACACTTTGCTCAACATACTACAAAGTGTTATGAAAGTTGTAAGCTGTTAGCTAGTTTTTAACCTTTCTACATTGTTTTAGAAAAATCATACGAAGTCGAAAACTGAATCCGTAAATTCTGAGAGTTCATAAAATGTGTCTAGTTTATTCATAATTTTTATTATTATTTTTACAAGTCTTTAACTTGTGTTAAAATGTTCATATTCACATACTGGTCCGAATTCGTTTATGAAATGATAGGCAGTTTTGTAAAAATCACCATAAATCGTATAAAAATCTTATGGAGATGTGCAAGTAGTCATTTTAAAGGTATAAACCTGAACTATTTGTATCTAATACAGTTTTGAAAACTAAAATGTTTAAGTTGAGCAAACAGTCCGTTAATGGAGTTAAACTTTTCTGATGAAAGCTGTTGGATGAGTTTAGTTGTGTTCTTGGTGTTTTAACTTGCATTACCCCCCTTAAAACTTAAGAAAAACGTGAAAAGATAGGGGTATGAACTCACCTTGAGTGATTTCAGTAGACGGATGATGGAGAAAAGAAGTGTTCAACTCAATAACACTTAGATGATGCTTGAAGATTCGAAGATCTAACAACAAATATGACGATATTTGTGTAAGGAACTCATGATTTGAGTGAAGAAGTGTAAGGAAATCAAGTGTGGGAATAGATTTACTTACCAAGGTGTGTGGAGAGCTCAAGATCAGCCTGGAATCTTGAATTCTTGGTGAGAGGAAGTGAGAGAGAATGTGTTTTGCTCTTTGGTGAAAAGTGAGTGAAATGGGAGGAGAGAGAGGAGATTTTCAGCTTTTGGTGAACCTTTACAGCTGGAGGAGGGGTGTCAAAGGACAAATAGTTGACTAGGTAGGGGGAATAGTGACTGAGGGTTGTACTATGAAGGTATGGGGGAGGTTGCTTGTGTCATACTCTAGATAAAGTCAACACTCTACCCCAAAATCTAACTTAATAGATTTTATTCTTGGACAAGGATTTCCCCCAAAAATATGATTAAAAATGAATATTTAGGGTCTCTTATATTAAATTACAAGTTTTGGTGAAAATCCCGCGTTAAAATCACGAAAACGGGCTTAAAACGAAGATTGGGTCAAAAACCGGGAAGAAAATGCTAATTTCCGAAGTCTGGCCGAAGATTGGGTCTTGAGAGGGTTAGAACCGAAGGTAGGGTTCGGTTGGTGCATTGGAACCGAGAGTAAGAGGTTTGGTCCAAGCCTCGTAGGCGAACTCACCAGAAGGGACCGAAGGCGAGGGTTCGGTTCAGCAGATCGGATCAGCAGCTTCGGTTCGGTCCTCCTAGTTCGGTTCTTAAGGCTGTTCGGTCCAGGAGGCTTCTTAGGGTTTCGCTTCTTAGGGGTTTCGGTTCCTTAAGGGAGGTTCGGTTCCTAAGAGGGTTCGGCTCCTTAAGAGGGTTCGGCTCCTTAAAAGCTGTTTTTCGCGTAAACTTCCGTTTTCGAGCGGTTTTCGACTAAATTAAGGGTCGGGATGCCCCGAGTGATTATAAAAAGTTGAGAGAGATTTTGAAAGAGATTTGGGAGAGATTTTACACACTTGGAGAGATTTCTCATACAGAGAGAGATTTGGGAGAGATTTCACACACTTGGAGAGATTTCTCATACACAGAGAGATTTGGGAGAGATTTCACACACTTAGAGAGATTTCTCATACAGAGAGAGATTTGGGGGAGATTTCACACACTTGGAGAGATTTCTCATACTTGGAGAGATTTGGGAGAGATTTCACACACTTGGAGAGATTTCTCATACAGAGAGAGATTTGGGAGTGATTTCACATACTTGGAGAGATTTCTCATACAGAGAGAGATTTGGGAGAAATTTCTCATACTTAGAGAGATTTGGGAGAGATAGAGTGAAAGAGGTTGAGAGAGACTTCGTTTGCGACCTTTTTAAGTGTTTGGCTTCGTAACTCAAGGTTTGTACACTCTGTTAAGCCTTGTTATGAATGTTATACGCTCCCGAGGGGTTAAGGAATAATGTTTTATCGAATAGATTTATCACTTACCCTGATTAGGGTTTAGAATTTCCGAACACGTGAAAACTCTAAGTGATACTTTGTATTAAGATTGCGAGTAGTACAATAAGAATCACAATGGAAACCCTAATATACAAGGGTTAGATGAGTTGACCGGTTTGACTTGTTGACTTTGGTTGACTTTGACTTGACCAAAAATTGACGGTTGTCACAATAGAGGTGAGCAACCAATGGGTTTTTGAAGGCTGAACAAATAATGATGGTGGTTTTTCTATGGTGGTGGTGGTGGCAGTGAAGCAATGGCAGATCTGAGGTCCTGGTTGTTGGTGGTTCAGAGGGGGGGGTGACTGGGTCTTAAGCTTGTTAGCCAGAGGTAGATTACCAGTGGAGAGGGAAGTGTGTGGTGTGAAGGTTGGTAGTTAGGGAAGATAGAATAAAGAGAGTGGTTGTGGTTTCCTTTAAATGATGATAGATATTGTTTTGATTGTGGGACAATGGTTGAGAAGGTGATGATTAAATACCTAAATCACCGTTTGTATGATCCAACCAATCTAAGATCGAGACCAACAAATCGATGGGATAAAGAGGAGTATGGTTTGAGACTGAGAGAAAGAATGTATGATCCAACCAATATAAGACCGAGACCAACAAATCGATTGGATAAAGAGGAGTATGGTTTGAGACTGAGATAAAGAATACGGTGGAGGTGGTGAGGGAAGCAGGTGGTTGAAGGCGGAAGGTAGTCAACGGTGAATGAGAGAAGGGGAAGGTTATATAAATGGAGAAGAAGATGAACAGTCACCGAGCGAAAGAAAGGGTGATATAGTGGAGAGGTTGTTGGGCGGGATAAGGAATGAGGACCTAGTCAAGAGCGGTAGAGGCCATATATAAGTGAAGGCGCACAAGACAAATTTTAGGCGAGATCGGAGGATAAGAGCCGTAAATAAAGTTTCATTTTTTCAACCCTTGACCGGATAACATTTACTTGCTTTGCAATGCATAAATTCATTGTATATATTGCATAAGGTCTTGTACCTCTTAAAATTTAGCAAAACATGTTAAATGCTTATATATATATATATATATATATATATATATATATATATATCTATATATATATATATATATATATATATATATATATCAAAAAAACATTACCAAACGCACATATCTGGGCCAAAAGCCCTTTTGTTACTGTAGATTATGTATTTGTATAGTTAGTAGGGTTTAATTTCAAGAACAGTGTTGTAATTATTTAAGTGGTTATGGTTGTATATGTTTGCATGTGACTCGGTCTATTGTACATAGATCAAAAAAACCAATACCAAACACACATGCCCTTTTGTTACTGTAAATTGTTGTGGTTGTGTATGTGTATGTTTGGATGTGAGTGTTGGGTAATTTTGATGGGTTAAGTTGGGTAACGCCTCATTTTGTTCTGGTTTGTTTTATTAAGTATTTGTTTAGTAGTTTAGTTGAGAATTAGTCGATTAAGCATGTGTCTTGCATTTGGTTATATATGTTGCATAGAGTCATAGTTGATTTAGTCTATGCAGGTGTCCTTCATTTTTGGTGGAAAGTAGTTGGGTGCAATTTGATTTCTTATTTATTGAGTGTAGCAGGAGATGTTTTTTTAAGAGCTCTAAGAAATGTAGTCCCTTTGAGCTTCCAGAAAGTAATACAGAAAAACATACCAATCCTTTGTGTTCACTTATATTAGCGTGGGTGTGAGATTGAATTGCTGTTTTTGATATTATATTCCAACAGTGAGTGGGTCTATTGTATGTGTGTATGGTTGTGTATGTGTGTCAACGGAAAGTAATTTGTTCTTTTTGTTTTTGTCTCACATATTATATCGTTTTTTTTTTATCTAATCAATTTGTACGAAAAATATTGCTTAAACTCTCGCTGTACCATAGGAGTGTAAAACTCTTGTTTATAATATATACTTGTATCTAGCAACTATATAAAATAAGATAATTAAGAGACCATTTTGCTTCATCAAACGATAGATGCATTTTTAGAAAGTGAACAACACTTTGTTTCATAAAGCGATGCATGACTTGAGTTTTACACCCTAATCATTTCCGCAAGCCAATCCTATTTTCATTAATTCCCAAATGACATTGATAAAAATGAGTACACGTCAGAATTTACTTGACATGCAACTCACTGGTTAACATAATTCAGAAGGAAATTAAAAAACAAGTGAACAATACTGAGAAGTGAATAAATATATTTAATATTATAATCGTAATATCATGGAAGATTTTATTCGTCACACACTCTACGGGTATTTGTGCAAAATTGCATGCACAAAGCTTTAGTAAAAAAACAATCCTTTTGGTCATCACAACAACAGTACTTCGATCCAGGATTTTCAGCATATGCCTTGCAAATAACCCATCCTATTTTTTCATCTTGTAGATTTGAAATGCCAACTTCGTTTCCCTCTTTGCTTGCTGCATTCATGTTAACAAGATATGATTATATGTATAATCACTTTTGTCGTTCTATGTGTATCATGAGAGGGATAAAGAGGATAAATTCAACTAAAAGTTAGGAATTATGATTAGGTATACATTCGTCTATCTATCCATGTATCATGCATGTATGTGTATGTATGTATGTAGATGTATATGGTTGAAAAGATAAAGAAGAGAAAACTTACCCTCATGACCAACAAGCATTAATGTTAGAAAAGTTAAGCACAAGATAATTGCAAGCTTGACCATGGTGGCGAGTGTGTTCTTAGAGATTTCTAAGGTTTTTTTGCTTGAAAGGAATATGAAGTTTAAACTTTAAACAAACGCCATTTATATTTATACACATATTTATACACCAAATTTAGTGAATTAATTAATGGTATCACAAACACAATTATGGTGGATTAAGAAAATCCTATAATTTCCTTTTGTATCCAAAAATTAGTGAGCGTTTAATATATTAAAGTTTTTGGTAATCACATTATATTTAATTTTGGTCGATTAATTGTATATCCTTTTGTTTTTTATAACCTTGCAAATTTCCCCTTCTTGATAATAGTTGATAAGATTGTTAAAATAAAAATAAATCATGTTCATACCTACTTAAGTAGACCTTGATATAATTATTGTTATTAGACAAACTCATCAAGCCGCTTGAAATGTAAGTTATAATATCTTTAAAATTACAATTCCAGCATTACTTACTTCCTGACATTTTTCTAAAAATTAAATTGAATTTATGTTTGACCTTTCAGATTCAGTTTATTAGTTTAACCTTCGAAATTATTATATAAAATATCCTAAGTTTCTAAGAAGAAAATATTATCATGATACAAATATTAGCCATTTCTAGTAATTTTGATATTAGCCATTTTGATATTATTAATAATCCATTTCTAGTAATTTTATAATTATTTGATATTATATGGTTATAGAATAAATAAATAAGGAGAAAATATCATCATGACACATATTAAAAATCCATATCTAGTTTTCAAAATAATTTGTGATATAATATGGTAATATAATAAAGAAAATAAGTAAATTACATAAATGGTTATCCTTTCAGTGTATGAAGTCGTTCATTTTAATCTTTTTTATATTATGTTATAGGAAAAATGATATATTAATGTATTTCAAATTTACCTATTCTCTTAAATTTTGATGCTTTTTTAGAGAATAAAATAGATGACCTGTTTATTTAGTTAGTCCCTCTAAAAGCAACCTGGCTCAGGGTAAAGGCAGCCCCCCGTCGGGTAAAATCCTATAATGCCTGTCCCAAGGCCGAATAAACATGGCTCTGTGCTTTGTTCCTCTCATGGTCTGGGTTGAGTCTAGTATTTCTGTGGGTAAAGTTGTAGTCTTGCAATATATTTGTAAAGGTCATGTGTATAATATTGCAAACCACATCAATGGTAGTCTTGCAAGACACATAGATAAGACACATGGATTAGATATTATTATTTTATTATAAATATAATATAATATATCAATTCAATTGTTTTTAATATCTTGATATGACTATTTGATTAAAATACTAATATAATCCTTTTGCTGTCAAATTTTAAAAAAGACACTACTATTTGGCTATTTGATTAAAATACTAATATAACCCTTTTACAGTCAAATTTTGAAAGAGACACTACTATTTGGCTAATGGCCTACTTAATTGGCCTTGCAAACCATTTGCAAGCCACCGATGTAACCTGAAATAACTTATCTACACGATGTGGCTGCCTAATCAGCACGATGTGGATGACACGTAGATTTCCACACAAACAATCAAATAAACAACTTTTCTCTCTCTCTCACACACAAGAGTCCACAATCCACGATCCTAAAATTTCCCACCCACAAACTCAAACGCAACCTCAAAACCACAATCGCCTTGATTCAAATAAACCCTTTTGTTTTTTGATCTAATTCAACATTTTATCTACTTCTTCGTTCAAATCTGTTCAGGTGAGTTTTGTTAAAATTTTCGACTTATGGTGGTTTATGTTCTTCATTATCTCTTATCTTTCTACTTGAACACCATAAACCATTTTGATTTATCGGTTTCAATCGCTTGTTTTCAGTTCAGTTGTATTGGGTTTCTAATTTCAGCATCTCTTTGTACTGATTTTGCAAGTTTCTTAATTTGATTTCGGAAACCCTTTTGATTTGTTGGTTATAATCACTTGTTTTGATCTGTTTCTTTTCTTCCTGAAATCCCCAATTGGTGTTCCTGATAATCTTTATGTCTTAAATTCAAAACACTTTTGATTTAATAGCTGTAATCACTTTTTTTTTTGTTTTTCCTTTTGAGTTCTTATCCAATTTTTATTTGATTCCATTCATGCGGGCTGTTACATTTTGAAATTTACTGCTTTTTTTCCTTCCTTATTTGATTGGCAGCCACTTTAGTGTTAATAATTTTTATTCAAATGAGCTTCTAAGATCTGTTCAAATCAAGCTTTTTGAAGTTGGGTTTTAGTAGAACATGAAGTCAAAAACTGAATTTAAAACTTACTTGATTTAATTCTTTAATATTCAGGTTCCGGGGGTGACAGATAAACGACGATATAGGTCCGGTAAGTTTCTTGTTGTCGAGTTGCAACATCACAATGGAGCCATTCTCCGGTCAGCTGCAAGGTGATGAGGTGGAGTTCTAATATGCTAGTGAGTGTGGATTTCCCCACTGTCGATTGACATTGAGCAAGGTAGTTTGCTGGGAAGTCAAGAACTGCTGTGAACTTACGACCGAGGTGAGGAAGATGAAGACGATGAATAGTAGGAGATGGGGTTAGAGTGAGAATTAAGAGAGAGAGAGAGAGAGAGAATAAGGAGGAATATATGCTCTGAACCATCATATAATTTTGAATTTGAAGTTTAATTTTGACCAAACATTGACTTTGAAGTTTAATTTTGACCAAACAATTTGTATGTGACAAATTTTGTCTAAAACAACTTTATTCCCTTAAAAAGCACAAAAATAAATTAAGGAACTGAAGGATAAAATCAAAATATATTGATGGACTAATGTGTCATTTTCTTGAGGCATTAGTTTTTTTTTTTTTTTTTTTTTTTCATATTTCTCAATCTACTATCCATATTTGTGAACTCTCACACCCCACCAATTAAAATAAATATAAAAATATTGACTAACATATTAATTGGAATGATTAAAAGATAACCGAAATACTAAAATGATAATTAAAATCATAGTTTACAAGTATTGATCGATATGACATAAGTATTGAAGTATGTGAGAGAAAAGAGATGCGGGTTGGAAATGGTCACCAACCCAAAGAAGCATCATCGGAGTGGAGGGTCCGCCGGTCCCAACGATGCCAACGACGGTGATTTCCATTGATTCCTTGCACTATGATGATTTTAGAATATATCAAAACAAACTTTGTTTATTATATAATAACATATGGAGTTGCATAATAGGGATGAGAAAAAACAGACCCAGAAAACAAAAGGCCAACAAAAACCGATATAACCGAAACCAAAAAACTAAAACCCGAAAAAAAAACGAAGGACTGGATTTAACTTTTATAAAATCGATATTATCAGTTCCGTTCGGTTTTTATATTATAAATTGACACATTAAAACCAAACCGGCACACGAGATTAAAAATCGATCCGCTATGCATATTATTTAATAATTATGATATTTTAAATATTATTTATATTTATTACACATTTTATGATAAAGAGAAAAGAAAATACATTAAATATTCACTGGAAAGATTTCATAGTTATTTTAATATATTTAAATTTATACGGTACCATTTGTTGTAGTGTATTTTCAGTGGGCTCGAACTTAAAAACTGGATAGCCGTGAGCCCATAAACCCATGGTTTCAAATTGAAAATCCATAAACTCAATACGAAAAACCGAACCATGTAGAAACTAAACTCATATGGGTTTTAAAACCGAAAAAACCAATTTTCTACGTTCTGATTTGATTTTAGCCAAATACTAAACAACCGACTCATTCTCATCCTTATTGCATACCACATCCGTCTCATATTTATTATCAACTTTTGAATTTTGAAATCTTTATTCTTTAATTTTGAGCTTAAATATTTTGGTTTTTAATATGTAATACTTGATACAAAATGTACAAGTGGTTTGCGTTTTAAATGTTTTTTCATTGTTATAAGTTTGATCAACTAATTCATAACACAAATAAAAATATTTAAGGTCAAAGTTGAATAATAAAGACTTCAAAACTCAAAAGTGGATAATAAATATGGTACGGATAAAGTATTATTTATCAATCATAAAAATACTGTAACGACGTAAATTTTCAAAACAATTTTTCATTTTTAAATCATATTTTCATCATCAAAAACAATATCAAACAAACTGTCTCCAATGTCATCATAACAAACAAATCCCAGAATCTCAAAACATAATCTCTACGAGTGTGTACGGATCATGTCGGCGCCTTCCCGCGATCCCCGCTAGTACCTGAAACACATAACACAGCAACTGTAAGCATAAATGCTTAGTGAGTTCCCCAATATACCCCATACAACACATACGCCTTTCCAGGCCATAACTCTGTAGGATCTTCCGACCCAAGTGTCTCAGGGGACTTCCGTCCCGAATCTCGGTAGACCTTCCGGTTCTACCCGTATCGACCTTCCGGTCCGTAACCTCCTGACCTTCCGGTCCATGTCATCTTGACCTTCCGGTCCATAACATCTTGACCTTCCGGTCCTTATCATACATAACATACATAACACATACATATCACATAACAACATATAACACATACATCTCATAGCATACAAGACCTTCCGGTCACACATAGGTACCCTTCCAGGTACAGTATAGTGAGAAGACTCACCTCAATGAAGTCGGATAACTCTCGTGCTCAACGTCCCGACCTAGCCTCCTCCTATCATTCAAATAACATCCCCGATCAATACTTTCTCATAGTCTCATCTCTAAAGATTAGGTAGAAGGCCATTCTACCCCTCCCTGAACTCTCTTGAATCAGTCTTGACCAGAACCCTAAGATCAACGAAAGTCAACGGTCAACTTTGGCCCGACTCGTCGAGTGCACATGGGCGACTCGGCGAGTCCAAGCGGGTCTTCTGAATCCTTCTAGTCTCACTTGGCACGTCGAGTCATCCCTCCACTCGACGGGTTACACCTGTCACGAATCGCGGGGCAACACCGACTCGACTCGTCGAGTCCACTTATGGACTCGGCGAGTTGCTTCCATGTTCATACTCAAATGACCTTCTAAGGTCAGATCTGCTTCTCTAATCTATAGATCTGACCTTCCCAAGCATGATAATCGCGT